TTTTACTAACTTCTTTTTATACTTCGTAAAGACATATACATGTATATTTGACACGCGCCATGTTGGCGTCTGGTTCTACGTCGTGTTACAGTATGCGTTGGACAGAAAACGTAACAGAAGACAGAAAAACAACCACTGGCACTGCAAAGTGTTAGGAGATTAATTGTTATGGTGAATTGATTTCATTATCATTAATGCGTATTCATGATACTGTATCATTCAAAATGGCTTACATAATTGTAAATGTGTTCATTGTTATCATATCGCTATTTTATTCAAAACATTTCTTATATTTAGAAGGTTTAAAGAGTTAGATTGATTGTGATTAAGGGGTTTAACAAAAGACTAAGTCGATTCTAAAGATGATTTCTTTCTGAAAACTAAACAGTTGTTTCCAGTTTCTTGTTTGTTTTCAATCCCCCAAAGTGAAGTTCAGATGCTTAAAGTCGACAGGAAGTGAGGTGCTTACACAGCATCTAGGTCTTCCTTGACAGGTGGTCACGGAGGAAGACGTGGTCAATTTGGCTATGAAGACGATTGTTGGAAGGAGGGGATATTTATTATCGAATGGCGTCTGTAAAGGAGTTATTAGACTTGTGCACAAGTCTCTAAGGTTATAGCTAATAACTTAAATGATAATTTCTAAAACAAATAACAGACTGGTGTCCTTAGAGTCCCGTCTTTAAGTGTCTCTTTAAAGGACAGAATTACTATACTATGGGCTTCGTATTCAGTACAGCCTTGGAGCTAATCACACTCTGCACACTTGACCACTAAATGTAGAATAGCTTATAATGCCTGCATAGACTTGTGAACATGGTTCAACTGTGACGGAAATCTCAGGTCTCTCACACAAGAGAGCTGAGAATAGGCTGATAATGATGAGTCTAATGGGATGATGACTTAAATATATATGTGCTCTGTGTTCTGAACCAGAGAACTACAATTACAATCAATGCATCAAGGATACTGGGGTTGCATTCCTTACTTCATTCAACAGAAGGTATCCCTACCTCCAGTGACACATACACACAGACCACTTTGTCTCAAACACAAAATATGTTGGTATTGCATAATTAGACCTACTGGGAATTGTCGGCAGTTTCTCCAGGCATGTGAAGTTATACATGTTTACGCCGCAGAGTGTGAACGTAAACTGTGTCTATGAAGTGTGTGCTACTGACTGCTAGTCCAGTTGAAACATTCCGCTTCATGTGCCGCTAAAATGGAAACAGTTGTCGATGTTGAATAATGGATAACAGTCAAGATTATATCAAGAGCTTATCTATTGCGAACATCTAGTAACTGCAACCGTCATTGCATTGAAATAGATGACAATCAAATGTATTGATATGACAAAGATATGGATAAAACTCCCATACCTTACAGATTAGGCACATACATTTTGTGTCTTCGCTCAGGGCGCTAAGGTTTTAAGAACAGATGCTATTTTGTACATCGTATGCTCCCACTAACTTTTCCCCTTGATAAACATTATATGTTTATTTACAATAAACATAGACCTTCCGCATGTTGGAGATGCACGTGGCTGCACTTTTTTGTCATTATCTCACGAGCAAATGACATATCCATTATCTTGGAATATAGCTTCCCTGGACTGTACCTTTTGCAACGGATGACCCAGGGGTCTCAACTCGTGAGCTATGCAGTGTTGTTTCCCTTTCCCTCCAGGATCTGCAGATCTCAGGTTCAAACCCTAATTTGGACTGACTATGAACCATGGTTTGTCATCACTCTACCCAAACTCACCAATGAGTTTCATGACTCTGGTAATTATCTAAGAATATATGCTTTCAATTCGTAGGAAACTCAAAAAACAATGTAAGATAAGTATGATATGTTTTGTATCCAGATATACGGAATGACCACCAACTTGACAGCAGATATTAACGCAGCATCTGCTACTGACCAGCTATACGATGTGCTATGATATGAGATTGCAGGAACGGGCACTGAAGAAATGAAACAGCAGGAGTGACATGGCGTCTCTCAAAATCTTTTAGTCTGACATGTTAAACTGGGCACTTAAACACCACATGGTCTCAGTGAGGATTAGACTTCCCAGCCCTCCCTATCATTGATGTTTGACTTACTTTATTCAAGTAATGTGGATCCACATGATTATACAAATCAGCTATTTACACGAACCTATGAAGCAGACACCGGGTGTTCTCAGAAAGTGTTTCACGGTCCTGCTAAACGCCCCGATCGTGCGCCAACCTCTATGGCCATCTGTGAAGGCCAAATGTGTGGCAGATTTCTCAGGTCAAAAGTCCCGTTACAGCCAGGGGCATTTTGAGATAAAATGTCCGAAAATATGTATGTTTTTGAAAGTGCAATTACTCACTCAGCGCAGCGCAGATTTTTATGCCGATGGAATTTCGCCAAAGAGCTTTTAATGGAAGTTTTATGAACTATTTAGCACTGCCAACGTACGTTCCTGGGATATGGCTTCCATCATCACACTTGTCACAGACCTGCCAATGCTGCAGATTATTTAAAAGTGTTTAACCTACAACTGTTAGTAATGAGTCCCATGATGCGATACATTGATATAGTTGTCTAAAGACCATGATGTAATGTTGATTAATGCCAGTGTAGCTCTGAAATACTTCAATGATTGAAAGTTGAAACACCAAACGTTGAAGAGTCCAATATGCTGCTTGGCGTCTGTGGGTTTAGACTCCAGTGAATAGAAAATAATGACGTCTATTAGTGAGTGGGATTTTACAGCGCATTACCAACATTCTCGTCAAGGAGGGGGCAACAAGGGGGTCACTCATTGTAACCATCTGGGGAATCGAACTCTGGCCTTATCGGACAAAGAACAGCTTCAAACACTAAGTTACCCCCTTATTGTCCCTGCGTTAAGGTAAAGGGGGATTATATTACGAAACTGATTTCATCCGTGTTGTCAGATCATGGTGGCTATCCACAAAGCGTTCGTAACTTTACGACCTGTCGTAACTCAACTGTTAACCGGGTAGCCTAGTGGTTAAGGCGTTCGCTCGTCACGCAGAAGACCCGGGTTGGATTCCCGACATGAGTACATTGTGTGAAACCCATTTCTGTGATATTGCTGGAATATTGCTAAAAGCGGCGTAAAACCCAACTCACTCTCTCACTCACTCACTATTGTTAACCAGAGGCTTACGAATATCGTAATGCTACGAACGTTTTGTGGATCGGGGCCCACGTCTGTTACTTTACATTCTGCGTCAGCCAACCAACACTGGATGGCAGTGGTATATGCAGTTGACATATAGACATATGAGAGTGTGTCATATGATGTGCATTGTCCAGTATTGATGCTCCATGTTTTCACAACATCTCTGGAATAATTCTGAAATTACAACCCAAATCACTCACTCACACTATGTACGTAAGATATCATACATCTGAATACACCCGTGGATACTTAGTCTATTGTGTAGACCATCGGCCTCCCACATATAATACGCTGTAACATATGTTATATTTGGGACTACACTTTATTAGTAAAGTACAAATTCTAGTACTTTTGGGGGGTTGAATCCCATCCGGAACCCACACCATCAGAGTCAGGCACCAAATCGCCAGCACAGAAAGTCAGCCGCCTAACCCGCTCAGCCACCGTGACTTCCACAAAAATGGAAGTCGGACAACTTGTAGTCTATACTGCGGGCTTTGTGTACCCCTCTGATCAGTGTAAGTGCGATTTGGAGCCTGACTCTGAGGGTGTGGGTTCGAATGCAGGATGGCACTCAACCCCCCCCCCCCAAAAAAAAAAAGTACTAGAATTTGTACTTTACTAAGAAAGTGTAATCCCAAATATAACATATGTTGCATTTGACCACTTTCTAAACGGCATTGTGTAATCATATAATACGCTGGTTACATTTTATTTTTGAAACGTACACGCCAGTCAATAACCAGTCTCTATTATTAACAGAAACAGAATTCACTGGTAAAGAAAAGGCCAAATAAATACCAGGTCATATTCTATTAATTCAATCAGTAATGACACCAGGTGTTCGCCACAACGATGGCCAGGGCCTGCTCTACCTGTGACTCACACAACATGGGTATAGGTACCCATTTAAGGGTTGTCTCCACAGTGTTCCTGCCGTGCAACGCCGCGCTTAAACAAATGGCATGACGTTCACAATGCATAAATGTAGGTGATACCTTGTTTAGCAATGGAACTCACGGAACATAATTGCAATATCAGTAAAGTAAATGGTTTATGTGGCAAGAACATTTGCGAGGGGATGATGAGTTGGTGTGCCAGACTTTCCAGACTCTTGGAACCAAACGCTCAAAGAAACTTGAAACACATGTTAACATTAAGAACAACAGTCTTGGTGGGATGTGTCTAAACATCGGAAGATTGTGGGCAAATACCTATAAACACATAACGTCACTGATCGACGCCAAGGGCAACAACTCCAACCAAGGACAGTTAAGTCAGAAGCAATTGATCGCAATTTGCCATTCAGATACGGGATCAGGCTCAGAAGGTGTGACATCGCCTACACAGATGGCAATTTAAGTGTACAACGTCAACGTAACACTCCGAACTGCACGTCGCTGATCAAGTTTCAAATGACCACACTATCCGAAGGAGCCAATCCACTACAAATGACTCGCAAATGGGTTCATATTATATAAAGTATCGACTTGAACAACAATGGTCGACTCGTTACACTGGGGTGTGGGCTAGCCTAGTGTTTAAAGCGTTTTTTTTCGTCACACGGAAGACCCGGTTTTGATTCACCACACCGTGATAAGCCCATTTCTGGTGTCAACTGCCGTGATATTGCTGGAATATTGCTAAAGAACCACGGATTATTTAACCAACTAACACATAGGCCATAATTAGTCATGTCATCCTTTGTAAAACACAAAAAATTAACGAACAGCACAGACCGTTTACTATAGTCGTATGAAAACATCGTGTGTTTTAAACTTCTTGTGAATATGATACAACACGAGGTCTCTGCAATTCTAGAGTTTATTCACTCAATAAATATAGCAAATGCGACAAAACATTGTAAAACTACAGCATGTAAATCTCGTAAGTAAATTATGTATATAATAAAGTAAAAGGTGACAATAAAATGCTACCTTTCTTAAAAAGTTCCCAAAAAAATTAAAAGATGGACACATTTGATTGGATGGAAAAATACAAATGGTCTTTGTCAGACTCCCAGTTATAATTAGTGAGCACGCACGGCAATAAAACTGTACTTCATACCACAGAACATGAACTTCAATACAGAGCATATACGAACTTAAATATAGAACATGCATGAACATTTTCATTTTTTACTATTTTTCTGAAGCTCGTGAGAAAAACATTAAATATTATATTTTAATAATTTTAATAATACCAAAAGTACAAGGGAATTAAATCAAATATTCTGTTGAAATGAAATACAGTTTTATGTCTTTAAACCTGCAGACAGGAATGTCTCATCATAAATGCGCGCTTATGATGATTATGATGGAAATGACAGTGTATATCCAAACCCTGAATATTTGAATGCCAATAAATACTACTTTATAGAAATGTCTCACGACAGAGTTAATTACCTATGTTTTGTCATAGCTAGGATATACACTGTTAGGCATTGATGAGATTCAGCACTTATAATTTATGATGTTAATGACACGTACATACACACGTTATGGCAAAAGATCTGGTGAAGGTTATCGTTTGTTCTTGTATGTATACAAGTATGTCATATGTCGTTCAAATGGACAGTATCGTGGGTTGAAATGGGTAATAATGGATATACCATGTATCAAAATTTCATCAAATATGTCATATTACAGACTCAGATAATTTCAACCTTTAACTCCAGATCTTTCTTGTTTCTTGTTTCCTAGAAATTGTTTCCACACGGAATCAGAATGATGAAAAATAAATAAGGGGTGAATTATTGGAAATCCTCATTCAAATAACACCCTTGTATTGAGACATGTTTCCACAAATAATTTAAATAAATAGGGATAAATTATAGAAGAGGGTGGATAAATTATTTGTTTCAGCTTTGTCTTTCCGAACTGCCAACTAATAATCGTTAGAAAGACAAAACTAAAACTGCAATGTTTTGACTATATATTATAACACTCGTTTTCACGCACAAAACATTTTCAAACAAACATGCATTGATAAATAAATAAATAAAAATGCTGGGTGAAAGGGAACGATACACGTATTTATATGTGAAAAGCTCCACAAAACCATCAACACACGTTAGACCCCTAAATACGTTTACATACAGTAGTTCACATTCTAACCACAATGATGTACATGTTATGTGTAATCTAATTATCAAAAATAGAAATTAATTGCATAGGAATATTGTGAGTTTGACTCACTATAGTAAGGCGAGAGACAGCAAAAAGGAATGCAAAGACATCTTAAAGCAAAGTGTCATGGGTAGTAATGACGTATTAATGACGCAATGATGACGTAATGGTGACGTAACACCGGAAGTTATCAATTAGTTTTGTCAATGTCTTTTAGGAATGTTTGCTTTTATAATATTGCCAAAATCGTCACTTTTAGAAATGTTTACGAGACACACGATTTGATGAATTAATAATGAGGGATACATGATTACAATGACGTATGTTTTGTGAGATGAATTTCAGCATATGCCCGAGAGGAGAATAGTTTAGCGTCCTGTAGACGGGTAGCATTTGGATGCTTAAGTGTGAAAATATACTGTTGAAATTGTCACAGAATATGTTCAGTTCAATATCGAATTGCTGGTTATGAATGACATAATTATATAAAATCCTGTCAATACTTTCTAAACTAGCTAGAACAATAACAAGCAGAAAACGACTACGTGACTAAAACAATATGGTAATAAATATTAAACTGTCTCTTAATTTGGTAATAAATTCCATTTAACGTTTCTCATAAAAAATCTTCACAAGGCATAATTTATTTCTACATTAGCACTCGATTTTGCTATTATCATATAAATATCAACAATTGAATCACAAAACGTACGCAAATAAATAATGAATAAATAAATTCATTTTCCAGCAGCACAGGACACCAAAAACTGTGTCAAACTTAAACAAGATGGCGTGTCAGCCAAGATTCTTTGACTGATGTGTCGATAGCAACGAGAACACACCACACAAAATCCAAACAGTTTGAAGACAAGGGCACTTGCTGGACAAAAAGCATGAATGACACGTTCAACCTATTAGCGTCAGTCCTATAAGTCTTACAGTTTCACTGCACTCCAGCATCAGGACCATTAGAACGGCTTGGACGGTTAGTATTCAAAGGCACTGTCGGATCAGTCACTTCGGCACAGTCATGGTGACTACCATGCATTGAGTCACAAAAAAAACAATGATTTGGTCGGTTTCTGATGAACGGACGTAAAGGCAAAGCATACAAAAATAGTTTTTGGCTGATTCTCTTTGAGAGATGATGATTTAGGGACGGCACTGTGATAGCTAGATGATTCTTTGGTCGTTTGGTCCACGGTTACGAGGCAGATGTGTATGCCTTCTTATGGTTTAATGCCTGAATCTCTGGCCCCGCATGCAGGAGGACTCTTCGTGTTTGTAAAGGTAACTCTTGAGGGCAAATGCTTTGCCACATCGCCCACAGACGTAAGGCTTCTCTGTTGAATGAGTCTGGATATGCGCACGTAGGTTGGACTTGTCAGCGAAAGCTTTGCCACATTTCTGGCAGGCAAATGGCTTCTCTCCTGTGTGTGTGCGAATATGGCCTTGAAGAAGCCAAGGACGACTGAACTTTTTGCCGCAGTAGGGACACTCGCAGCCTTGGTTGTGAGTGCGGACATGCATGCTATAGGCAGGCATAGATACATACACCTTCTCGCAGTGAGGACACTTTCTGGCCTTCTTGTCGTTTACACTTCGATGTGTCTGCCTGTGTCTTGCTAGGTTGCTTGAAGTACTGTATCTCTTGCCACAGTCTACACAAATATAGTTGTCTGGAGACTCGGGACTTCTTGGTGGACTCAAAAGAAGCTCGTTCAGCGATCTTCGAGCTTCAAACTTGCTGACATCTACGAAAGTTTGTTTTTCAGCATCCAGAGGATACTCTGCTGCCTGGTCAGGGATGTCTCGACACGTGCTCTTCCTTGGGCTCTGGGTCATCAGGTCGTACAGTAGGGACACGTGGGCCCTGCAGTCACCCCAGCCATAGTCGAATTCCGACTGGATGTCCACCCGAGTGTCAGTGCGCGGAGAGCCGGAGCAGCTGCTGGCATCACTGTCACTGCCATCATCTGAAGATACGCTCTTTGGGGGCTTGTCTGGAAGTAAACAAATGGAGTCATATAAGTGGGTTACATAAGCACGTCACTTTTAGTTATGGTACAGAACAATCTACAGATATGGTAATGGAACTGGATTCTTAGACCTAAGAGATTCACCCAGGCCATAGACAATAAATCAAATTGAGTCCAACTCACGTCCAACTCAGGATCTAGTTTGCCTCGGCTCTGGGAATCAAGAAATAGACGATTGTTCTGGTTTCTATTTGTATTTTTACATCTGTACAAGTTTATATTTTCATAAAAGATAACTGCCTTGGGCTAAATGTCAGTCTGACCAAACCACTGCAAGAATGTTAAGAGCAAAGACACAATAACTTGTTCATTTGGAAGGTCGAATCATGAGTGAAATTATTCAACAATTAGCAATCACTGAAGTTACGTTCATGTAAAAGCAAAACAGCTTTTGAAATAGCATCATTTGTGGCTAACGTAACATTAGCTATTTGTCTTCTAGGTTTCACGTAAAAGATAATATGCTATGAATAAAAAGTCTTGCTGTAAAAACATCGAAAAAAGACTAGACACCAAAGTGATGCTATTCTATTACATCTGACAACACGATGACTCCGAGATAAAACACACACAGATGCTTAAAATGTTTCGAAATCTCAAAGAAAACCCATCAGTTGACAAAACGTTTTGATGTGAGATAACAAGTCCATCTTTAAACAATTTCCTTTCATCACAAACCAAACAGAAAAAGCAAAACCTTCCTCAAAGTTCTAATGAAAAACAGACTGTTTCCTCTTAGCAATACATATTTTGACAATCTCCCAGATCCCTATTTCATTTGCTTTCGCCATTTTTCTCAACACCATATCCCCTTTAATGTTGAGGTTCGCAACATATCAATGCCAAAACCTAATGTCCTTTCTGGTAATGAATGCCAAATCTATCACTGTTAGTGTGTATGGGCGATTTCCGCAGGAAATGGTGTTCTTAATCCCTGCCTCGTACCGGTGTCAACAGTTGGGGAACATTTTGCAACCTGCGTGCCACTTTTACAGAAAGGCTAAACATGAATTAAAAGGTAAGATGGCCTGCAGCTGTGTTTGGTCATGAGGTATGAAGTAAATAGAATCCTGCCGAGGAACCGTTACTCTTGGGAGGTAGAGTCGAATTAAAGACTGGAACCATTCTGAACAGAACAAAGGAAATCTTTGATGTCTTCACAATTGGTTGTTTGTGGAAATTTTTTTAAGTAAATATATTTGCCATTGTGATGTGAATAATGTTTGACTTATTACATAGCTACAGATTACAGAGAGCTGAACTTCCTGAAAGAAATATATACGGTGATGGGACGTTAAGGTCTCGGCAAACAACCTTCAGAAAACAAAGCCAACACAGTATCACTATTCTTCGTCTAATGTTTCCTCAAAAATGTGTTTATTTAGCACTGACATAAAATTCTGTAAAAGTATGCATCTTAACAGGGTGTAGTTTTCGCTTAAGTGGATTCATGTTTTTCATTTTAAGATAACTCTCCAAGTGCTCACTTAGAACAACATCAGACCGCGTGCTCTTGTTTTCAAACGTGAACCAGGAGATGCTGTTATCATTGTATAGCTGTCCTGATTTCAGCCCGATCACTAAAGTCCATTAAATATAAACCATCATGAAATATAATTATCCATGATAACACTAATCTTCTTGTTGATGTTTCACAAATCAATAACACGCTAAAGCACAGTAAGATAATTGCCTACATGATTAGCCTATATCACGAAACTTCATCGAATTTCTGTTATACCACATCCAAAACATTGAAGCCCTCCTTGGTATCTTTCCCCGAGCAATCAAAGATGCTAATTGCGGCCCGGACTGACCAAAGTGACCATAACCATGACCTCAGATGCTCCTGTGTTACTCCTACAGAAGCCACAGTGTGATATGTTGCAGCTGCCAACATGAAAGGAAGGATGATGTTTTGGAAAGTTGATATTTGACCCACATGTGCGCTGGCAGGTGGGACTTTATAATTATGGGTCATCCAAACAAATTCCACCCACACTTTACTATCGAGGAAGGCTTGGTGGCGCCTGGGGTGATTTTCTTATCTTCAGTGTCTTACTGAAGTGCAGGTGGTCTCGACAAACCTTTGTCTTTGAGGACTCCCATTGAAGATATGGAATAGGAGTGACCCTTCAACTCGTACACAGAATGAAGCGAAATATATCTTACAAAAACACCCACGTGGGCTAGACTACTTCATATGTCTACAAAATGGTTATAGTTTTTTTAAATAAATATCCACATGCACTTACATATGGTAAATACCAAAGTGAATGTGTTTGTGGATATATGTAGAAATATTAACAAAGACACTTCTGAAAGTCTTCTATCTGGGAGATAGTTTGAATGTCAGAAGTTACGTAGAGGCCAATGAAAGAATAACACATGCTACAACCATCATCCCTATAGTTACAGTCACATTAATGCTTCTAGCTTTACTGATGACATATCACTGTTACTTGTTATCCATTTTAATATCGAAACAGGAATGTTGTAATTTTGAGATGAAACTAATGGCACAACACCTAAAGCTGGACATCCTAGCTGTTATTTAACAAAACTGTCTAGTAATTGTAAGTAACTTGACATTCAAATTTCTGGAACTATTCTCAGTTTCTTTTTCTTGTGAATATTGGAAAAGTAGATGTGAAACCTGCTTCCTTTTAACCTTTTAACATTTTTGGAGTGTCACTGCCTTTAGTTGAAGGCATGGCGCGTTCCCATCGGAAGCCTAGGAATGGTCGCTTGCAAGGAGTGGATATGCAAATGAGATGAGGGTCGCGGGACGAGCATAGCAACAGGCCCAGTGACATATGGTTACCTACCGTAACCAGCAAGTGATGTTACCATCTGATGACTCCATCAACTGTTTATAGTGGCATTTCTGACAACCCAGTCAGATACTACACGCTGGGTCACACTACTGATGGATAGTATGTCAATATCACACAAGAACAACCTGTGACCGCTCTGGTGCAGATTATTATAGGGTTTTTTTCCGTTAACCATCCATATATTTTGTTTCCTCTACTCAGCATTCCACCCCAAAGGAATCTTTTTTGTGGACAATAGAGTCTGGTTATTCTGTGACAATGGCGTTACATATGTATTGGACATTCACGTATGTTACCTTTGAAAGTTTTACTATGACCTCACCAGTTGTGCACTATGGCAGTAGAAATATTAATATGCAGCAAGGGCAGATTTGAGTGAGAGTAAGTGCATGGTTATAAGATATTAATGGGATCTATATGTCGGTTCCCAGGCTTTTTTCAGTGTTATCATCTTTTCCAAAAAGAGAGCATGTTGCACCTGTTTGATGACAGAGGATTACATGTTCTATAAATATGACAGTTACGAAGCTGGTATAGAGTATTTATGCACGGATTGTCCAGAAACTCCAGTTCTTCAAACTTTCCTAAAGACATCACTACCGAATTGTTTTCTAAAATAGTCAGATGCTGACACAAGTTCAACAACCACACAAAAAGAGTGGAAGCCTAAAAATTCTTAAAATTGAAGACAAAAAACTTGACAACGTAGTGCACGTGTGAAGAGGTTTTCGGAGTATAAGAACAGACACTGTTGCAACCGCAAGACAGATCAGCTTCACACTGGAACGAAAAGCCCACATGTTCTTGTTTTTTACGTCAAAATGGATTCACTTTACCATTTAGCCAGCGGCCTATCTCCCACGACATGACAGAGGCGGTAAGAACAGAGCCCGTATCAAATGACAGCAACTCTACTGGAGACTCCATCTTCTCCAGAACAAAGAAACCGCACAGAGGACTCGGCTCGAAGATTCACAAGCCTCCGAATCTCGTGCTTAGCAGTTCTCCTCGCTTGTTAGTAGACGCGTGTGATGAATTAAATCTTCGGTTCAGAAGCACTAACTCATCGAAATATTTTCTGGCCGTTCGTTTTAGAATATATACACATGACTCCTTTTGATACTAGATCGTAATAGAAGATCACCCGGGTTAAATAACTACTTGAGATTGTTTTTGGTTCCCAGTGGAAAGGATGATTCCAGGGAAAAGTAAACAAACCAAAGACCAAACCATACGAACCATGAGTAAACTACCTGTGCCCCAATACACACTGAACCAAAAGGCATTATCGGTGCTCTCATAAAACCGTCAGTTTACGCATCTGCGTGTCCGTGTGATAAGTGGTCATAAACACCGACTTACACCTGGCCATGCATAGCCACTGACCAGGTCACCGGTGGCCATATTGCACACTATCAAAACAAACAGTGAACAAAACAGAGAGCATGGCACTTACCTTGATAGCTTGGTATAGGTAGTGTTGGTGCTTCCCTCTCCACGCGGAAATCAGAGAAATATCGCCGGTTTGTTATCATGAATATCCTAGGCATCGTGGAGAGGTGCCAACAGGCCGAACGTCAGGCGGTGGTGCTGCTTGTTGAGTGGGGGTCTTTCAGCTCGCGTGCGCACTACCCTCACGTCTGCTGCCGCTGCCCGTGATCGTCTGCCGCGGGTCTCGTCTGCTCTCAGAGAATGCAACAAGTGTCAAATGCGGCTCCTCTCCCCCAGTAGTTTTCTTGTATCTCCAGATGCGATGACTTCACGGGACGGCTTCAGGATCCATTAAAACGAGTCTACTCTACTCCAATTTCACGACTGGCCTATGGCACAAGGCACAACGGCTTAGATTTCATGCATCTTCTGTTTGGCTCGAGCTGTGCACGCGCACAGTTGCAGACGACACCCTAATGGTCTTTGGGAGTTGATTGAAAAAACAGTGGTCCCTTGCTGCCGTTTCTTGGCATGTTCAGAGTCTCCTGAGAGATATAGACTCATTTCTTTTACGCAAGCAAGCAAACGGTTATTTTATGCTGACGGGACACTCCGAGAGTCAACTTCAAGAACATTTTCCACTTGACAATGAAAATGAAAACAAACTAAATTTCTTTCAAAGTTTGTCTAAATCATGAAATTGTTTACATTGTGTGCCCCTGAACGTAACTATATTAATAGTTTATAAGTTTTCACAACCAGTTATAAAATAACAGAAATGTTCCATTTTACGAAATATGCAGTGTTTCAATGTTTTTGTACCATTTCCGGTAGATATGATTCTGTCCTAAAAGGAAATTGAAAAACATCAGACCCTGATGATATTAAATATTTTAACATTTCCAATATTTTATGACCTGTTCAAGCATTCATTAAGTGATTTTCATACATTAAGCAACAAATTATGAACATACAGATTGGTCAAGTCATCTGTAAAACTCGAGAATTATCTTTTTCATTGTAAAAACAAAGCTCATGGAACACAATTCCCATATTGTGTTTAAGAAATCATAAACTCAAAATTGAAACTGGTAGATATACAAAACCTGCAACCTTACTGTAACGACTCTGTGAAATGACAATGTGTAATGTCTTAGATGATAAGCAACACCTTGTAATATCCTATACAAAGCATAGCATAGAAAGAGAATCACTTCTACAAACAATCCTTAATCACGATTAAGAATTTGTTACACTCTGTAAAAATAAGCAATTCTTAACAACTTTTACAAACAGATGTCCAGCAACAATCTCCAAGATATGTCATCATATTTACAATTTTCAATAAACTGTGTGTATTACCATAGTCTCTCCATTCTTCATATTGTTTTCATGTCATTATGCTACATATGTTTTGTGAAATTGTATGAACTGAATGTATCTGTGAAATCATACATCGTTGTACCTACTGTGTTATATATGTAGTTTATACAATATTACCACTGTTCCTTCATGGAATGCTAGGCAATACACATCTTGTCTTTATCTTATCTTATCTATCTTATCTTTTATTTGTACAGTGGTGTCGGTATCTTCACGACATGGTGTGTACGATGTTCCTTTTAGGTATCTCAAGTGAGACTTACTCGTATTTTCTGTCACAAGTGCCTGTGTTAAGGGTTTTCCTGAAGGGATAATTATGACGCCCAACTTTCAGACAGAGATCAACACTCAGTCTCTTCTCCCATTTGTTCCGTTCTATAACCAGCTTGCCGATGACGTCATTGAGATTATTTTAAGGCCTATGTTCTATTCTAAAGGGAATTAGCTATTTCCTTACGTTAGCCCATCCCCTGGCAGCGAGTATAAACGTTTAGATTAGAACCACCCTCCAGAACTCCTGTTTGACTATACGCAAGTAATTTCTATCTCAGGAACGTGTAAAAATTTAAGCTAAGACACATGCACCTCTTAACAGTAAATATGACACTCTATGAATAGTCTAAAATGCGTGGACTTTTTCACTTTTGACAGATATGTATAACAAAGCTATTTGAACATGATAATGAGTTTCAGACCAACATGAAGAACAAAAGGAATTCTCTGTAAGAAGACATAACTAGTTTAACAGATATACACTTAAGTTCCATGTTGTTCCAAAAACGGTATAATGTTTCGGCGATTTTTATTATTTTTCAAAAACCTTTCTGTAAATTTTACACAGTCAATCTTCAGCAAAGGATTGTTTTTAAAGTTTATATCATCATGCTAATTGTGAGAGGAATATCTAACAGGAAGAAACATTATGAACTCATTCATAGGTAGCCATTTCTTGGAGATTCATACGAGTAATGACTCAAATGCCAGTCGTTTTGGAGTCATATGACCAGTCATCTGATGACTGTATATGAGTGGTTAACAGGGGATCGGGATGACAAAACCTGGCAGGAACAGGTAAAGCAATCAGCTGAAGATGCAGGTAGATTGCTCTGTTAGCGAATCGCAACTCACCCTTAACTAACGACGCCAGGCTGAGTAATTAACTGCAGTTTTTCCCAAATGTCTGCATAAATCAACCTATTTTTCATTGTGATAAATGAAATGTTTTGTTTCACGTTGGGTGTAAGTACAAGAAGAGTGAGATGCTGTAAAGGAAAGCCCCTACGCTCAACAGCCTATATCATCTGTGTTTGCATATGTTTTATATCGCACACAAAGCTGTGAATATTGACATGGCGAGACGATTTGGCTTAATACAATTTACTTGCAAGATATGCTGAGGTGTAAGGTAGCCTAGTGGTGTTAGCGTCCACCCATATCTCTGATGCTATGCTGGTAGCTGTATCCAGCAACATACAAACCCATTCTCACTCACTCATTCACAGACTGAATATCAGTTCCGTCCCGTAGCTTTGTAATAATATAATAACAAAAGTTATTTACTGTACAGTTAGGTAGAGTGTGCTATCAGTGATATCATTATCACTATAAACCCTTACTTCCTGGAGTATATTGTGTACAGTAAGTGGGTGAGTGTTGATTGAACCTGAGCAGAATGTCTGTATCACCATAATAGACCTTCGTGGGATCCATGTTCATAGAACCCGGTTTGTCAAGACAAAGTGATCATGTGTCTGTTGTTTTACATACCAAGTGCATTGCAGCTTCATGTAGCTTGTCTTGAAACTAGTGGTGCATAACACGATCAACTATCCATACGATGAGATCACAGTTAAACACAGTCAGCTATGTTTCTCGTCTTGCATATCTGATCATCACATTCAAAGTCTCAGGGCTCCTTTTCATTATATTGTATTTTTTTACTGTGAACTTTTTTTCAGTAAAATATGTTCATTTCCAGTTGTTAGTGTACACATCTTCTAAGCATGAAGTACAAAACTCAGTTGTAACCTCCAGTGTCTTAAGGCACAGTTAAATCAGACATTGTACTTTTGATATAATATTACTGTACACGGGAATGTGCCAACATACAAACATCATTTGAATTTGTCTTAAGCGTACAGATCATTACTCAACATAATCCATCTGTCCTTTCCAGGGCTGTTATACTTGGCAATGACGTGGACATGGGATGTGTCAGTGGGATGGTGCAACTCTCTGGTACCTGTTAGAACATCAGTGGACCTGTAATGCCTCCTTGCCACCTATCTGGCAGAGGATATAATGATTCATGAGGTTCTGGGGTGATGTACATTTAGTCATGCCAAATGGTGCCAAGTCTGTTCCATGTTTGGAAATCCAGTACCTTGTGATCAACCGATCTTTCAAAACCTAACAGTAAAGACATGTTTGGTCGTGGTGCTCTGGGAGTTGTAAATGACATCATCAGTAGGTTTGACTAGTTGAATTGTGATGCCTCCAAATGTGTTTTAACTGCTATTCTAACTTGCAATGAGTCTGTGGACACACGTTTCTATACGTCATGTTTTCAATTTGTGAATGCTCTTCAGAGTAGTGCTGCTACAAGTTTCATATTAAAAAGCTTATCAACAGTGCCTTCCTTCTGTCAAATATTTCCCTGTACCATCATGATATTCATGTCCTTGAAATTGGTTGCGTATTAAGCATTCACCATGCATATTTTACTTTAACCCTTAAACTATTGCATCAGGTCTGATTATGTTCTAATGAGCATATCAACGTTCAACAAACAAATGGACACATACGATATAAAGAAATATGTTTTTAATATTCCAGATTTGATATGAATATCACTTTCTAGGAGACCGTGGTATGCGAAAAGTCTCTGCAATCTGAAATAACCATTATCTACCGAACAGCACTTTATTATCTTTACGTAAATATGTATTTGAATAAACAAACATAAACGTTTTAACAAAATGGTCCTTTTCTTAATTTCTAGTTATAGCCAATGGCAAAGAAAGTAATATCAATGAGAAAGATAGGGTTTGTTTATCAACGGCAGCCTGTTCTGTAGCCGTCGAGACACGACGCAGTGTTTGTAACGTAAGTAAACCAACACTTCCGGTAAAGTCCGTCAAACAAAGGCTGATAAGACTGCGATACGTACTGGGGCTCTAAACGCGACATGTGGTCGGGCACGGACTGAAATATCCAACCAGCTTCGCTTGTCTATGTGATACAAAAGAAGACATATGGAGGGAAAAAATGTATTTTGCTCCACTCGTGGGCGTTATCATTTGTAAACATATAGTTATTAGATGTTATCACTGAATGATACTTTGTTGCTCCCAGCCGGAGTGGTTGGCTCTGGGAAGAAGAATACTTACTTCTTTGGGAGAGAATATGATCATGGGACTTCTGATACCCCCGTCATTTTGAGACGGTCAAACCGTTAATGGTCTACAGCTCATTTAGGCAAAGTATATTTTTCTTTCTTATCGGTTCTTAATTAAACTGATCCATGGTGTGGAATGTTGCAGGGGTCGCTTTACCCCGGTGGAAATATGTGGAAAATGTACAAAACGCCCTTCATTTGTATCAACATTGGTGGTATGTTCCTGTATTTGGTGCACTTGATTGAAATCTGTGCTAAACGAACATGCTCTAGACGCTAAATGTTTATACATAGATACAACGACACATATGCTTTGCCAGTGTGTATAATGTCCTCTACTGACTTGCGAGTAGGGGATACATGGCATGACTTTTCATTCAAGGCATCAAATTTCAGAACGTTTAATGGCAGACATGTTGAGGGTATTTCCCAGGATATTTGATGCATAGTGTTCAGAGAAACACCTGCTTCTGTTTGCATGTTTGTGTCGGGTAGCATTGGTCTGGCAAGGTAAGC